AACAAAATATATATAATGTCGCATATGAGAAAAATAGTAATGACTTGAAATTTTTACGTTTTTTTTTTATGTCATATAACAAAAGTGAAGGAATTTGAACAAAAGATTTTGTCTCAGAAATTCTAAAAGTCTGTTTTAAATTATTCTTTTTTGCGGTTAATCGTTGTATCTTTCAATTTTAAGATTCTCCAACTTTATCGATCTTATCTTTACTGGGCCGTGTCCCCCTGTTTCTATTCAATGGCCGAAAAATGCAAATGACTAATGATTGGCCAATTATATTACCCTAATTAACTGATATTAATCAAGCCGTCTGTCAACACGAATTAGCGAGCTTATACTTTTTTAGCTTAAAAATCAATACTTTTCATATTCATTGAAAAATACATAAATCTTATGCAATTTAGCAATGACACCCGGTGTTGTTCGACCAAAGTCCATTTCTTTTACACCGTTTTCTTTCTCCTTTTAATCCTTCACCGAGACTCGAACATGCTGCCATTATTATTAGGTTAACTTTCCTTCCTCTTCAATTAGTTTTCACTGCGCCGGGCCCGTCGTGGGAATGTCAACGGCCAATCAACGGAACCACGTCCTCAAAGACCAGTTTACCGGTGGATACTGAATAGAGAAGATGCATTCCTAACCCAGAGGTAGACACTGTCTCTTGCAAAATGACTTATCGTACTTATGAGTCAAGACAGCTTTTGCAACACCCACTAGTTTTCCTTTTCAGAGTCGGAGAGAAGGTATTTAACGTATTTTCATACTTTGTCAACATGTTCTCTATCTAGAAATAATAAAAAAAAACTTCCTTTACGGTCTTCTGACTTCTCCCTAGCCTACTTCATTATAAATGTTGGTGGTAATTATCGACTTTCGATGGCCAGATTTTACCAAATATATTTGATAACGCAACACATAATAACATTTACCGACGCCGACATGGAGGATACGAAATATAGCCCTGGGTATGACGATAAACTACATCCGGCAGCAAGAACTCTGATCTGGAGATTGGAGGTTTTGTGGAGCGTGGAACCATCACTTAACTGCTGTTGTTTCCAGGTCCACCATGATTCGGAGTAGTAACACCTGTTAGGCTCCCAGCTATAGGCAAATAGTGACCCCCGCAAAAAAAACCCCACTATGACAGTATAAAAATACATTTTATAGTAAAAATGCCAGCAATACGCACATACTAACAAATTGTAGTTATTTTTCATCCAAATCTGTTTTAATACTACCAACCAACATGAAAGAACTTTCATGACATTTGTCCATATAATGTCCTACAATTTTTTAAAGAAATCAAACTGCATTCCAAAATATAACTTCAACAAAACTACAGCATAAAACACACCTATCACCACCTATAGTAATTATGTCCACACACACAAACATGTATATGCTCTTATTACTTCAAAGCTCCCAAGAAAATTAAATTTTGGCATTAAATGACCCATGAGAAGCTGATGTGCCATTAAACAAACAAATCGATCAATCTGTCTCGCTCTCTAAATGTCTCTTTCTCTAAATCTATCTCTCTCTCTGAATGTCTCTCCTTCTCTCTCTCTCTCTCTGAATACTATTGGTGATTTTAACTCACATCGCACAAAGAACTTTCATGACATTAATCCATATAATATCCTACAATTACTTAAAGAAACCAAACTGTATTCCAAAATATAACTTCAACGAAACACATATCAACGCCTCAAGTAATCCTGTGCACACAAACACGTATATGAACAAAAGCTGAGTATCATCTACGATGTATTCAATTGTGAAAGCAGGATTACATCATATTTTTATTACTTCTAAGCTCCCAAGAAAATTTTATTTCGGCATTAAATGACCCATAAGGAGTTGTTGTGCCGTTTAAAAGACAAATCAATCAAAACATGAAATGCTTAAAGCTCTCAAACTGATTTAATTACGACAATTTCGCTAATACTGAATTACGGTAGACATAAATCTAAAAAAGAAGAAAAAGGAAAAAAAATGGAAAAGAAAGTTGTGACTGCGTAGCGCAGCGGAGAAAAATGAAGCGGTCGGCCCTGTCCAACGTCAGGTATCCCTGCTAGTATGAAATAAAACGTAGAAAATTTAATTAATCACCCATTAATACAACAATATAAATTTAATTTAAATTATTTACATTCGGACTATTGTCCTCATCTTTTTTGTGGCTGTTGTCATAACGTTTCGGGCGCTGTGTCCTCTGGCCTTTATCAGCCCAGCTCGGGGATTGGACCCACAATGATTATGTCACCAAACTCACAAAGCAACACTTTAATCCACTGGGCTATTTTCCTATAGGACAATTCTGAGTGGATAACGTGGAGCCTTAAACCTAATCTGCCTGCCGATGAGTTCTGTTGCTGCTTGTCATACTTGACCGCATTTATACAACCGCTTTCGAAAATCAATGGTTGAAATTCAATTATTTTATTCTTATGAGAAAAAAATATTATAAATAAATATTGCAGAAAAAATTGAATATTCATTTTATTCAAATATGCAGTAGACCGAGAAAGTAGTGTGCGTTATATGTGTAGTTATATACTTGTCTTTACTCCTAAGCTGTGATGTAAACCCTAAGGTGGTTACCACTTTCAGAGCAGAAAACAACTTTATTTGAATAACTATATTGCAAATGATTAACAAGAGTCCTCCGATAAAATGTTTAATATCAATATAAAAAACAAAAAAACAAACACTAAACTAATTGATTTTCTTTTTTCCGGGTTTTCAGATGGGAATTTTAGCCATTTTCACACCATTTGTCGTAAGAACCACTGAAAAACCCTTTGAGTTATTCAGCTAAAAAGAGAACAGGTTAAAATCGTTTTGTATTAGCCCCACTATGTCTTCTCAACTGAGCAATGGTGAGAGGAAAAAGATCATTCAGGCCTTCAGTAATGGTACCAACATTCATACTCTGGCTTCCATCTTCAAAGTCCATTCAAGAACCATTAAAAAAGATGGAACAGTAGAGAGGAAAACTGGATCAAGAGGTCACAACAGGAAGAGAGATCATCATTTCAACTTAGAGCTAATTATATTCTTATTGTTCAAAGTAGAGTCCAATGGTGTTATAAAAGCCTCGGAGAATTCCAGTAAGATATCTTTAATCATTTCTAACATACAACGGTTCAAACTTAATCTAACAATTGGACAATTTTGCTGTTACATGATTTGGACAATTTTGCTGTTATACCAAGTATATTAAATTTTGTTTTGGTTTGCGTTCAACTTGAAACAAGAATACGTAAGATAGATACTCCGATGTTGTGGGCAAGCTATTCGGGTTCTTAAACGCTTCATATTCTCCAATGAGGTATGGAAATCCTCTCACTCAACCGTCTTTCTTTCCAAAGTCTCTCTGCAGTTTCTTGAACAACATGTGAGTGATCTTCTTCTATGTGCCATGTCCATGGGCCATCATGGATCTCCTTAATTTCTCATCGCTTGCAGCTCTTAGTAACGTTATTTTTTGCTTATGCCGTCACTTTTATGCCGTTTATGCCCTGTGAGTGTCAAATTCTTCAAGCTCTCTTTACTCATTATGTTCAAGAAATTTCAGTGTCTTTTTTGTTTCGATTTTCTTCGTTTCTTTATGCATTCTGTCCATAGTATTATCAGCTTACGGTCAAATCACGCTGAAACACCGGTTCTCGTTCGATCACCGAAGTTAAGCATCGTAGAGCCAGGTCAGTACTTAGATGGGGGACCGCTTGGGAACAGCTGGTACTGTAAGCCCCCAAAGTCCAACCCTTACCTCACAGTCGGTGGGGGGTGTAAACGGTAGTGTCAGAGCTATGCCGCCTGGAACTTCGTTCCTGGTAGGGCCACCCAAGGCGGACAGGTCTGACACACACACACCGGCTAACAAGGGCTCTGGTGAAAATCCAAGGAGCGTCTGCATCGGTAACCGGCGGCTTCTGGTCGTTCCTGTCTCTGCGTCTGTGGGAATCCCGCGGCAAGCAAGAACGTTATCCGAGTAGGCCTGGGTACCCTACTTCTGTAATTTATCCCAAGAATCTTCTTCTCATAATAGGAAGAAGCCGGTTCAATCCGCCCAGGGTGAATGCCGCATCAGTACAGTAGAGTACATAGTATTCTTAGTACCACATGACGATTTACATTGAAATTAAACTTTAAAAAAAAGACTATCAAAATTTCCAAATTGTTAGAAGGCAATGTTTAGTTGTCAGACAGAGAAAAAAGTTCAAAATGTAAAGTACGAATTGGAGGTGTATATATCAAACAAGTAGAGAAGTTTAAATATCTGAGAACCATTTTGACAGATGACGGAAAATGGGAGAAGAGGATTCATACCTTTCCCAAGGGTATTAGCACGTAAGTGAATATAATGTACCAAACTGGAATTTGAACTCGGCTCACCGATTACTCAATCCGAGCCGCTATCCATTACACCATCGTGCCTCCATTCTTACGCAACAGATGAAATCGTACAAGAAGCAATTCAAAATATTTTACAAAGGCAGTAAAGTCTGTGGTTATAGTTTAATGGTTTGGAACAATAGAAAGAAACTATTAGAAAGTAGGTAAAACACGATGGAACACCGAACAACGTAAACTATATTACTTCACTAACAGATACAGAAGGTGAAATATTCCAACATGGTGAATCAACTTGCCATATATTACAAAATAATAAAACAAATTTCTTACTGATGTAGACAAGATTGATTGATTGATTGATTGATTGATTCGTTCTTGACGCCTTATCAATCTTTTTTCACGTTATTTATAGCTAGAACATATTTTTAGATTGTAGGAATTTAGTGGGGGATAATAGTATTTTAGTGATACAAGTCTTACTAATTAACCCACAGATAGGGGAGAAGAGGTGGATTCATATCATTCCCTATTTGCGCATAAGTGATTATAACAAACCCGACTGGAATTAGAACACCTTTCTTCGATTTTTAATTCCAAGACATTATCATTACATCACCTGCAGATCCAAGTTTACAGCACGTGGTATTCCCAAACGGTCACCCATCTAGGTACGGACCAGGCCCGACGTTGCTTAACTTCGGTGGGCGTACGGGAAGCAGAGTTTCAACGTGATATGGCCGTAAGCTTCTGATGCAGATATTGCAGTGTTACAAAATTAATCACCCCAAAGCTTTGACCATAACGTAATCGAACCGATGTAGAAAAAGTTGAAAACTCAGATTTATAATAAAGCCAAAGAACTTTCAGGAACTTTGGTTATACTGTCAAGAGAAATGACACAACATTCCTGGTGAAACTTCTATTCCTTCAAGACGTGTTGAAACCATAGTTCATTCCAATGTAGAGTCATACTAAATACTGATTACCATGTTAAATATCACTAAATATATCAATGCATTTATATTTTGCCATTTTAGCTTTTCTTTCATCAATAAAAGCAGTTAAATGTGCATTTACTTTACTGTTTCATGATTTTTGTTTGCCTTATTTTCAGCATCTGAGTATCGCATTTTCCAAGCCCTCTTTCCTCATTATGTGCTCTAGAAATTTCAACTGTCTCTTTCTAAGCATAAGTATCCTTTTTGGTTCCATTTTCTCTAAAACGTCGGTTTTGCTCACATGTTCAGTTTAAGATATTCTCAGCATGCTTCTGTAGAATCAATTTTATGTTTCTTCTTCATCTTTGTCCAGTACACACCGCCATAACAGTTTAGTACTCATTTTCTTGTTTCTAGCAGAATTTTCCTATTTCATAATACTTTGCTCAGCTTTTGGAAGGCATCTTTGGCTATTCTAATACGCCTTCGGATTTCAGTGTCACTCTTTTCGTCCTCTGTTAAAACACTTAAAAGTTTTTCAATCGCCATCTTCTGTCTTCTTGAACCCCGTCCGCCTTTTGTCCTCTTCTCAATCCTCCTTATTCTAAATCCTGTCTTTCACTTTCACTCTCAGTAATCCCTTGATATGACTAACTTGCTTGGGGTGAAATGAAATAAATAAATAAAAAAAAAACCTTAACTCTGACATAAAGATGCAATCATTCACTGCCACAGTTTATGACTTTTCTTTATTTCCAATGAAATTTACCTTTCTTCTTGTTTCTTAATACTTTGCTTAGCTTTTGGAAGGCATCTTTCGCTATCCTAATGCAACATCAGATTTCGATGTCGCACTTTCCGCCCTCGGATAAAACACTTCCTTTTTGTACTTTCTTGATTTTGGCATCTCTAATTGGTAATTCACATGTTAGGTTGTCCCTTTTGCTAACAACCACGCATTCTGTATATGACATGTTCGGTGGAGGAGGGGCGTATTCAACATTTGATAATTTTGAGGCAATATGTGCTTAAAGGTTTTATGTACATTTGATCAACATATCTTTTCAAGGTTAGCCGTAAGGAATTGTAAATGTATGACTACCTTACACTTAAGTAAAATAATAACAGTAATAATATTTATTATGAATTTATTACAGGAAATATCAAGTTTTATGGAAACATTGTTGATAATTATTTATTTAGTTACACAACAAATAAATAAAAAATATAAATTTTGATGCTATATTCGATTTGTTGTTAGATATTTTTCATTTTCTCCTTTGTTATTGGCAGTATTTTAGAAGACTCCGGCTGCAATGCTAAGCTTCCTAAGTTGAACAAACCGGAGCTTTTTCGTTTACGCTTTGTTACCTCTCTTTTCCATTGTTATTTTTAGATTGCTTTCTTCAGTCATTTTGATAGTTAATAGCGAAATTCTGTGATTTAGAATGATCTTATTCCATTTTAAAAAAAATCCTGTAAAAAGAAATATTTTAAATTAACATACGACCAAAAATAAAGTGCTTTTGACAAAAAACCTTAATGATTTCAATGTAATTATGTAACAATAATGTAATGATATTCCGCAGACAAATCTACGGTTTGTTATCTCATCTCATGGTTACGAACTATAAACCTAAATTGAGCTTGAAATATTGTATAATTGGTTGTAATTTTTTGTAAAATACTTTGATATGATATAATGATTAAGTTTTAGTAAAAAAAGCTATTTTCAATTTGTTGTTGAATACACCCTCCTCCGTCGAACGTGTCATATAGAAACGCACATAAAAAATAATGTCACTATGTGACAAACATTTATTAAAAAAATCATGTAAAAAAATCACTTGAATTTAAATTTGAACAGGATGTACTGTATTTGCATGTGGCAGAAAAGTGGATTCGTATCACTCAAAAGTAAAACTAATCTTGAAACCCAAGTGTTAATGATGGCGACATAACATCCGGCCACAGATATATTAGTTAGAAATATAACTATTATTGATGGTGTACAAGTGGTCCAGAGTCAACAATAGTGCACTCATTTTTTTTACTATTATTTCAATTTATTACTCTTGATTTTACAGGCTCACTTACGATCATCAGAAGTTAAGCAACGTCGAGCCTGGTCAGTACCAAGATGAGTGACCGCTTGGGATTACCAGGTGCTATAATCTTGTTATGTGCGTGCGGTGCGATGGATAACGGCTCGGAATCGGAGATCCAAGTTCCAATTCCAGTCAAGTTTACTTACGCGCAAATATCCCTGGGAAAGATATGAATTTATCTATTCTCCTCCTCCACAGTAATGGGCTAATTAGTAAGACTTGTATCAGTAAATTATTATTCTTACAAATAAGGCGGAAGAAATGGTTTATGTCAGCTTACTCTGTTACCATGTAATCCAGTACTACTTGCCGCTCTTAACTGCTGTTGTTCCCAGGTCCACCCTAACCCGGGGTGGCAGTACCTGTTAGGGTCCCAGTTATAGGCAAATAGTGAATCCCTAAACCAAACACCATGAAAGTATATAAATACCTTTTTTATGGTAAAAATACCAACAATACATTTTCATATTAAAAAAATTACCTGTTTATAGTAAAATAACGAAAAACACATTTTATCTGTAGTTGAAGGCATACGATTACGTTCGAAATATGTTTAGATGAAACCATAAAATTGTCCAAAATATTGAAATTTCGGTATTAAATAGCCCATAGAGGTGTTGATATGCCACAAAAAAAAATCATCCAAACAAGAATTCTTTCTCCTGCAACAATAATAATAATGTTCACTCTGTACAAGAACCACTCGAGGTAGAGGGTTACAGAGTAAAAGGCACAATTTATGGGGGATATGTGATGGTAGATAACGGTTAAGCATAAATTTGATTGTTCCCAGGTCCACCCTGAACAAATAGTTAACTCCAAGAAAAAAACAAAACGCTATGAAAGTATTTAAAAAAAAAAACAACACATTTTTATAGTAGAAATACCAGCAATACATTTTTATATATAAAAAGTATCAATACATACTTATAGTAAAATGACCAGCATTACATTTTATAATAGAATTACCAACAATACATTTTTTGCATTCAAAATATTTAGATTTCGGCAGTAAATAACCCATAGAGGTGCTGATATGCCGCCAAATAAAATCAACCAAACCAAATTCAGCTGATGTCATGTTGCAGTGTCGTTTGAAGATTGGGTGAAAACATTTTATTTAATTAATGGAGACATTACTTTATATATAAGTAATTCATCGAGTCTAGAAGAAATCTCAACAGAATGAAGAAAGCACTTGACGGACGTTTCGCCCTATATTTGGGACTCATTAGCAGTGCGCATCCACTGGCGAGAATTGAAACCCTGACAGTTACATTATCATGCAAACGGCATACCACCTGTTCAAACGGGCCTCGGTGACGAAGAATTATCAAATCAGAGTCGATATAGCGCCGCTCACTCACATATTCATGATGAAGTTTCTTCAAGACTCGATGAATTAATTGTAATTATCAAATCCTCCTAATAATTTCTTTCACTTATATATCATCACTTGCTTCTAATGCTCTGGATGGAGCGGCTTGGGGATAGTAGTCGTGGCTTGTAGGGGGCACAGTCCTATGGGTAAAGGAACTCGGATGAGTTCCACCATGGAATATGTGAGTGAGCGGCGCTATATCGAGCCGGATTTGATACTTCTTCGTCACCGAGGCTCGTTAGAACAGTTGGTATGATGACGTAACTGTCAGGGTTTCAATTCTCGGTAGTGGATGCGCACCGCTGATGAGTCCCAAATATAGGACGAAACGGCCGTCCAGTGCTTTTTGCATTCTGTTGAGGTTTCTTCTAGACTCGATAAATTACTTAATTATAATTATCAAATCCTCCTAATAATTTCTATCATATATATATATATATATATATATATATATATATATATATATATAAAAGATTTTCACCCCAAGCAAGGCGGGAGTGCCGCTCGAAGGCATGGGGTTACAGAGAGTGATAGCAAGTGTAGAGAGGCGTGATAATGGAAAGCATGGAGAGAAGGACGGGGAATTAGATTAAGGCATCTGAAGATGTCGACTGACATTGCATTTGAATAATTGAACATTATTGCTATGAGGGAAGCAAGTAAGTAAGAGGAAGGGAGTTCCACACACGGGAATTGTGAGACATGAAGCTATTATAGTAGAAGAAACGGCTACATTTAACAGTTTCGACAGTAAATGGGTGGGACTGCGATGCCAATTTAGTAGCACGCTTAAATTCATGTAGTTTGGGAACCAGCAAAATTAGCTCGTCGGAGCAGTTACCGTGAAAGTATGTGTAGAAAAGACAGAGGGAAGCGATGGCACGTCTGTGAGGAAGTGACTGTACACGAGATACTAGATCAGGACCAATCACATTGCATATCCGTCTCTGGATTTTGTCGAGGACCTTAATATGAGCAGCAGGGGCTCCAGACCATATATGGCAGCATTATTCCATGCAAGGGCGAATGGTTGATTTATATATTTGAAGGATGAACTCAGGCGAGAAAAACTTTCTGGCGCGACGCATAGAACTAACATTCCTTGCGGTAGATGAGGCTATTGATTCAATGTATTTGTTTCATCTAATGTCAGCGGATTGTGTGAGACCAAGGAGTCGCAGAAAGGCACTCTCGTGGAGTTGAGCATACCAGATTTGCTATTGAAGTAGGAGAAAATAGTGTCGTCTGCATAGATAACTACTTGGGAACTGATGACATCGGGAAGATCGTTAATGAAGATCACAGTGTAGGACCCA